TTATATATAAGTTTCTCAGACTACAAAATCGTTAAAACCCCATGTTACCTATATACGCCCTCACAGTTACACCCACTGTTTTCCTATTTTTCTATTGCGTCTGGAAATATACTTCATGCCACTAGAATCAGCTCATCGAGCTCTACAAACTGGGATGATTCCCATTCGAAACGGTGATTCACACTTGGGGACCTTCCATCGTTAGTGAGTTTCATAAATAATTTTTGAACGAAGATTGATAAGACTTAAAGATGGGTGTGTTTAGAGATACAATTAATGAATTAGTTTTATTATGTTACCACTATTCGCTGAATAAATTCAGAAAAATCCTTTTGAAAAATTGTTAGAGCAAGCTAAATGGTACGACTCTTGCTTATTGAACATAACATTGATTATTTTTTTAATTTCTTTCTCTGTTTTCTAGTGTAACAGCATTAATTAATCCCTCTTTTTAAAACTTTCTGCCAGCATACTGCTGAATGAATTCGATCAACGGCTTGTAAGCAGCATCGAACACAGCTGAAGAAAAGGCTGCTATAAAACAAAACAATCAACGCTTTCAACCGAATGCAACAACAAAATGACGAATCTGTATTGAAATGTTCTTTTGTTAGTCAGCTAAATACTTACTTTTCCTCATTTTTAACAAGCTTGTAACTTGTATACTAAAATAACGCTAGAGAATGTATTCATCTAACAACAAAATTGACAGAAGACCGATTATGATAGATAGTGCCTAGATCCTCACTATGCAGTCAAGGATGTTGTATTGACAAAATTCCATAGGAAACAATGCAAGCTAGAATCTTAATACTCGACCACAATATGCTGACGAATTTCTATTCGCAAGTCGAACTATTCGGCTTCGATGAAGAGAATGAAACGATGTAAGTGTGAGTGTACATTAAGATGTGAAAAACATGTGACGATGAATAGTTTTAGATCTTCTTTTCGCTGTCAAATACATTTCTAACCTCACAATTCTTATAATGAAAAAAAGACCTAGTTTAAATAGGTATTTATTTCGTATCGGCATATGGTGAGCTTCAATAATTTTATTTGATTAAATAACCATAAATTTTTTTTTGGCAAGTTATTCTTCGCTTATGATTCTATCTCAGGTAACGAGAAGAAATAAATAAAAAAAAACAGCGAATGTAAGTGTTTCGATTTATGTTTTGACATTCCTTTTGCATACACCGAGACGTATCAAATGCAAACTTTCTCTTTTTCACTATTTATTTTTGCTGTTCTACGCCTTGCTAAGCAGTTCTAACTTCTTTTTTTCATCGCTTTGTATGCTATTGCATTTCTCATAGTTGACTGCACACGTTTAAGATCAATTCGACTGATTCTAGTAATGAAACCTGTGTTTCTAATAATTTTTTTCACAAGTGCTTATCTTTATTCAAAATGTGATAGTATCACTTCATCAACAAGTCTCGATTCAAAATTAGATTCCGGTAAGTTCCTTACATTGACGAAATTGACGCATTTTTTTATTTATGTACTGAGAATATATATATAAGAGATGTAATAATTCGTAATAGTTCTTCACCGAATAGTTAAGTATTATGAAACAGTATTGAGACTTCAATAAGACTCGGCACTATAGAATGTATTTTTCTTGGTTTCAAAATTTGAAGTTAATTAATGTATTATATAACTACAAAAATTAATCACTCTTAAACATGCTTTGTTTTATGTCATTTTTAAATATTTGGTAGTAAATGGGACAACATATGGTAATTCAACATTGGCATCATACGGTGCAATGGTTGGCATAGCGTCAACTAATGTATCAGCCTATTCGAATGGAAATGATAGCTATATCTCCGACGAATCCAATTATCTTTATAATATATACACTGGAATGCCATGGCAATGCGTCGAATATGCACGTCGATGGTTATTCATACGTAAAGGTTGTGTTTTTAATAGTGTTGATGCAGCTAATGATATGTGGAGTCAACTGTCTATTGTTCAACGAGTTGTCGATGGAAAATGTTTTTCTCTGAAAAAATATCAAAATGGTTCAACAAGTCCACCAAAAAACGAATCATTACTTATCTATAGTCGTGGTAAAGATATGCCATATGGACATGTTGCTGTTATAGTGGATGTCTTAAACGATTCTATTCATGTAGCTGAACAAAATTTTCATGCATATTATTGGGCGGGTAACTATTCTCGACGAATTCCATATGTACTGAAGAATGGTAGTTATTATATCATGGATGATTATAATATTTATGGTTGGATGTCAGTTGAAGATAATAATGAAAATTATCCATTGAATCAATCGACTATCAATAAAATTCTTCAAAAAAATATATCGTTTCCTGATTTTATTTGTTCAAAAAGTATCAAGCATAATTACATTTCATTATATTATTACCTTGGTTTTTTTCTTTGTCTTACATTTTCATCGATTTTTCTCTGACATAACAATACATAGAGTACAATCAAATTTCTCCTATTTATTCCTTTAGTATGAACACATATATCTTTAAATTAAGATTTAATAATATCATATTGGCTTTTTTTTTATTTGAGATTATTTTAATAAAAATAATATTCCTTCTTAAAATATTAATAAAATACATTCATAGAACAACACATAAAGAACCCAAATAAGTGCACATATTATTTGGTATTAACTTGATGTCTCATACTGGAAGACCTTAATAATCCAATGTTTTGTTTGCAATCAATTCAATTGATAGAAATCAATCATTTTCAAGAAACACGGAACAAATACTCATCAAAAAAACAGCAGAGTCACAGACATGAATTGATTCTATTTTCCCAGAAAATAAAAATAGAAAACATCAGGAAAGACATTGAAAAAGACAAGTATTTAATTGATATTTCGAAAAAAAGTTAGATATATTTTGCTTTGAACAACTTACCTATAGGAAAGATCACAGACAGTTGTCGCTGTCATCGTCCAAAAGAGGTTATTATCGGTCCATGATTCTACTCTTAAAAATAAATTATTTAGATTATATCAACTTGTATAAGTAGTTAATATTAGATTAACCATAATTCAGCACCTGTTGCGTCTTTACATTATACCAGCAATTAGACTCTTGTCTGAATTGTGCTTATCATTTACTTTCAATTACAGTTCTTGAAAAGTGACATATGCATGCAGATTGAAAGTAAGAAGATCTCTTTTATTTCTTAGAAAAAAACACTGACGAGCTCTAAGATTATCATTAAGAACTTTCGTAAGAGTTTTTTTTTTGCAATTTTTTTTCTTAGTTTTAAGTACGCCGAATTCATGTTCAACTCGATATATTTTAATTTTCTTATAGAGTAGAAAAGAAAAACTTCAAAACTGCTTCAAATATATGAACTACGTTTATTATTGTTCTTTTGGAAAATCATGAAAAATAGTATAGAATTCTTGAGTCAGATCAATATTGATTCCCCTACTTTGATTGGTGAGTAAAACGTGGTGATGTACTTGTGTCATTTCGTTCTTGGTAACGTTAACACAAATTGATACTCACGTTACTTTTTTTTTCTTTTTCCTGTAGTTTATTTTTTTGTCTGTGTCCGTAAGAACATGGCGTAATAACGTTATTACTCAACTAACACAAAAATTCTAGTAATCATTTGAAGAAAAACATCACATGGCGTCTGCAACACAAGAAGAAGATGAACATTCATTGTCTAATACAAAACCTAAACAAGTAAAACAAACGAATCTTGGAGATTCGATTCATTCTCAATTAAATCGTCATTCATCATTACTTTTATCATTAGATCATATAAGAATATTTGCTTTACGTCGTCCTAAACCAGAATGTATAACAAATGAAAATTGGCTTGTTTATAATGTTACATCAACAACAAAAGAAAAGTGGTGTTTAGAATTCAGTCCATTTTTCTTAGGTCCTATTGAACTATATCCAAATCATAATGATGGTCAAATATTTATTGCAAAAAATATGGAAAATGCTTGGCAATTTTGTAAAGTTTATAAACCATTTACTGATACAGATGGTTATTCACCATCAGAAGCTTATTGGCAATGGGCTAAAAATGGTTGGAATGATACTAAACCACATCGTTTTCCACTTGGACGTAGAGCTAATAAACCACTTTATTCATTATGGAATGGAAAAAAACTAAATTATATTGAAGCACGTAAAATAATCTATGCACCATTATATGCAAAATATGTTGAACAAACAGATGCGTATAAAAAATTAAATGATATTTATCGAAAATATTGTTGTGAAAATACAAATGATAAACATAAAAAACCAATGGCTTTAGTAGATTTTGATGGATGGGATCATTTAGGACAAGGTTATACATTAGAACAAGTTATTAATATGGAAAAACCTAAAATGGGTCATGCTTTTGTTTTAGCTGGTCTTTTAGAAAATAATTTATTTTGGTTATCCGAACCAGAAAAATCAAATGTTGAAGAATTAAGAAAATCTGGACGATTGTTGAAAGATATTTGAATTGAACTATTTTGTTTTCTTTGTTTTTTTTCTTTGAAATCACATACAAGATTATTCAAATTAGAATTTTAAAATGAAGACAACAATATTAATGAAAATATTCTTAGGCAATCTGTTATGATAATAAACGAAAACTTAATTGATCATTCTATTCAGGTTTTTTTCTTATAAAAAAAAGATTTTTGTATAAAATGAGATGAAATATTCTTGTTATGATTCTCTATATAGTTATTTTCTGGAGCATTACTGCGAGTGTTGTTAGATTTTTCAGTGTCATTGATATATAGAACTTCATTTTTTTTTTGTAAAATGTGTGCTTATTCATTTCTATTTCTAATGCATTTATTTAGTGAACTGCTGTCTGATAAAAAGGCCATAAGACATACAAATAATTAGTCTTTTTTTTAAACAAAGTTTGCTTTTCGTGTATATACTAAACAAAACCACTCTTTTGTTGCATGTATATGATCATTAACAATACTATAACTACCACATAGTTCTTATAATAGCATCATAACTCGTATATTTACTATAAGCTCATGTCTACAAGACAAAACTAAAGATCGGGTGGCTTTCTATTCGTGAACATAACATTGAAGTTTGAAATCTGTTAAAACTCAGTTTCAATTTGTTTTTTTAAACTTTCAAAAATACTTTTCTGTAAAGATTTTAATAAAACTTGAACATTAAATTTTCTTATTTCTATACAATAAGCTGTAATTTATAGAAAGTCTTAAACTGTTGATTTTCGTTTGCTTTTTCAATTAATTGAAATGTATAGGCTTTACTAGCTATAATTATTACTATGAATGTCATCAGTTTTGTTTTGTCCTGAATACACTATTTAAACTAGGAGATCATACCAAAGAGTGTGTGTGGACTGTAGTGACATTGATCTGAAGAAGGACTGACCAAAATGGCTCTTAACTATTAAATGTTTTGATATAGTAATATCTACACTCTATTAACAAATAATATTATAAAATAAATGCTAAAAAAATTTAATGATGATAAGTATCTTTGTCTACTGATCAAAATTGGTCTTAACTCTATTTAATTGTTATTATTATTATATCGAATCAAACATCGAATGAACTATTAGTAAAGCCTGAGATTAACTTAGGAAAGGTGAACCGTTCCTACAAATCATTCAGCTATTTGTAGAGACTCAATGACGATCAATTATATATAAAAATCAACAATCAATAATACGATCTTCAAAAGAAGACGACTTTCCTATACACGTGTTGGTGAATGTCTTCCCTGTAGACACATTGACACTGATTCCTATCCAAAATATTATAGTATTCTTTCAGAAAATTCTTCTTTATTCAGCTGTTATTAACAATCTATTTTAAGACTTACATTACTTTCCGAATTCGTTAAATATATTTCATATTCATCTTGTACAATAAAATACCTCTAATGAATAACAACTCATATTATCAAGAATTTGTAATAGTTTTTCATTAAAATTACATAAAAAATTAATAAAATAGCCAAATCTACAGTCGTCAATGTAAAAAAAAAAAAATTTATTTTACGACAAACTTAGCTATCTTAATTTTTGTAAATGAGAAAGTAGGCTAAAGATGAATAAAATCCCTTGTGCATTTACTAATAGTTTCCTACTTCTAAATTCATCTATCGACAACTTCTTGCACTAAATGATATTCAATATGAGAAAAACAATAACAAATTATGTACGATTCAATAGTAAAACTATTCATTACTAGTTCATCTTCTTTCATATGCTTATGAATTATTAATTTACTTATTCAATAATTTATCTTAGATAAAATCTCAATAGATTTTCCGTATTTATCTTTTATTTCTTGTCACATTCATTTAGATCATTCAAACAGAATAGTATATTAGTTGAACGAGTAGAAAATAGTGTAAAACTTTTACATAATAGAAAATATTATTTTTCTCATTTTAACACAGTACATCTTCTTTCGATCATGCTGACTTATAATTACACTTATAAGATGTTTATTCATTAATTACTATATCCTATGGTATATAATGTAGATATTTTTATTTTATTTTTGACTGAAATATACGTGTATAAGAGAAAAGAAACGGTTTTATTTTTAATATAGCAAAAAAAAACCATTCAACATATAATTATCTTGTTAATTTGACTAGATGTTTATAGTATTCGAATTATTTTGATACTTTCAAACAAAAATCAATGTAGCATCAAATATTTATTAATAGAGAAAATGTTTTTCTAGAACGAAGTTCATAAAAACTGTTATGATTAATCCCTATCTAATCTTCATAAACTCTATTTTTTTCATGAGACAAGTGATTGTTTCCTCTCGTGACCATCTCACTCAATTATAAATAATCATTTGGTTTCATTTTTATACGGTTTTTAAGTCACGAATAGTATAGAGAATTCTGTTTTTTTTTTCTCATGATTTTCTTCATTTTATGAAATACAATCTTAAAACGAGTGCTCGTGTAAAAAAGAAAAATTTTGCACTTCCTCCCTCACCAACATGACAAACATCTTAGTAAGAAATCATTAAAAATCACAGCAGTCATAGTCCTAGATCTTATATCAGTTAATATTTCGTTATAGTATACAACCTACTTCCTTACATTATTTTCCGAGAATCAAATTAAAAAAAAAAAAAAAAAAACTAACAAAGAAATGTGCTACAAAATGGATGGAATAAAACACTCTTTCTATGATTAGTACTAACAACTACAACACGTTTCATATTTTAATTCTAGAAGGCATCCACGATTCTTTTCTTTCTTCTATTATATTTATGCGAGAGTGCATTCTAACCTCATATATATATATATATTTACACGCGATCTTCTAGAATTTCATCAAACTACATAAATAATTTTTTCATATTTATATTTGATAGATTACTTTTTTTTAAATAAATATGAATAATGAGATGTATATTCATAATATTTTAGATCGAAATAAATCTATTTGAATCTTATACAATATGAGTAAATTACTAGAACAAGTCTTCAAGCAAATATTTATCTACAACCATTACAATTTTCTCTTATTTTGATGATAAATATACTTAATATAAGTGTATTATGTTCTCGTGTATTTCGTTCATCATCATGTACATATTATTTCTTAGCTTATTCTATATTTAGTATAATCTATAGTTGTTTAGCATGTTTAACACAATTTTTACGTGGTTTTTCTATTGATTGGGCAAAGAATCGAATTGGATGTAAATTACATTTTTATCTTTTATTTGTCGTTCCATTTCAAGCTAATCTAATGCTTAGTTTAGCATCTATTGATCGATATTATTCTAGTTTAAAATCACATAGATTACATTCAAAAAAAAAATACAAACATCAAGAATAATTATTACTATTGCTACTATTATATCAGCTGTATATATGTTACCAATGTTAGTAATTTATAATTGGAATGAAACTAATAGATTATGTCAATTAAAATCTAATGTAACAATATATATTTATATATTCAGTCAAATATTTTTATATTATATATTAGCACCATTATTAATGATTATATTTGGATTTTTAACAATATCTAATATTCGTCGAAAATCTATGAATTTAATATATTTAACAAAATCTATGAGACGACGTCGTACTGAAAGACAATTAACTCGAATGTTATTACTTCAAGTTGGTATTCATCTTATTCNAATTGATAAAACCGGTGTCATCAATCATGTTGCACCATGTTTTAATAGTTGTCAAACCAAGTACTCCATTCAAATCAGGAAAAAATTTCGTTCGATAATCACCATTCTGATGCTTCAAAGCTACCACTTTCTGTAAATCTTCACTTTTTATTATCAAAGAATTAACTGAAACTTTTTCGAACAACGTAAAGAAATAAAAAATAGGTATTGAGACAATTTTCCAGGATTTATCGATAAAGATCATTGGCCACCTAATAGTTTTGATCTCAATCCATTGGATTACTGTATATGGGATGAAATTATAAAGTTCATTGGTTGCAATAGAGCGACATCCAAAGCAACGATGATCCAAGAATTAACACATTCAGTAAAAAAAATTCGACAAAATGTTGTGTTTGAAAGTTGTAACTCGTGGACCAATCGATTGTATCGCATGTCAAAAAATGAATAGAGACTATTTAAGATAATAAAAATATCTACGTTTTGCAGAGAATTTGACAAGGACTCTTTCTATAAAAAAGTTTTTTTTTCGATGCCGAATTATAGATGAAAAATATGCAGAATACTGAGAGGTCCATTTAATCTGGGCCACCCGTTACTATGATAGGAAAATGTTCGCTTCGCTTTCGAGTGATAAATTTAACTTGATTTGAATCAAATTCTAAAGTATCGAAGTTTAATGATGTGGTATAATCAGAAGAAACACGCATGCACTACGACGTCTCATAATTCTAGTATTTTTTTAGCCGATTCCAAAATTGATTAAGTTACACCTATGCACGAGGATCATTATGAATTTTTTCTCTAGGGGTCTACAATAGATGCATACGGAACGACAGATGAGGGTTCTGAAATAGAGCGGATCGTTTCAAACGCATCACCCTCATTCTCACTTTACACCCTTATCCAGCACTCTCAGAATCACCGTGCGCATCTTTCGGGATCCCGTATCGTATATATTATATTCACACTAACTTAGCGATTATCAAATTATTTTTGTACAGAAACTGGCAATTGTTAACAATGTCATAAGTGCTTTATTGTTTCTCTTATTCTGAATGATTTTCCGCAGAAAAGAACTTATGTTAATCGAACATCTTCAGTCTTATGCACAAGAAGCATGTGCATTTCATGTAGTAAATCTAGCATTAATTCTTGGTATAAGTTAGAAGTTGAATGACCTGTTCAGTTAGGCAACTACTATGTGAACGAAGCGGAATGCAAATGAAATCAAAATGAAAAGAACAGGCTAACAATCGGATGAGAGAGTGGAAAAAGAATAATGTTTTTTTTATTTCTCCGTGTACTTGATGGAAAGAAAAGACAACGAGAAAAATTTCTTTAAAATGTGGATAAAGGACGAACTCTATTCCTATCTGACGAAAAGAAGTAGATAAAATATAGAATAGTTAATTATTGAAACTTTTACTGAAACAGCTAAACTTTAACTCATTTTATAATTATAAACTATACCAGAGCAGACCAACTGATTTATCTTGATTGATTATGCTTATTACTCATAAATACTTGCACTTTTAAAAGAGAAATACAGAGGATTATGATTATCAGATATCTAAGGAAGAAGGAATCATTTATTTAGTCAATATGACATATTGATATATATTAATATTAATGATAAATTCCATTTACCATCAATATCGCACCGGAGCTTTTACTTTTTATTAGTAAGATACGCAGGTTCTAACTATCAATTACCTGTTATTAATAAGCGTCAAGTAGTAACACTTACTACGTGCTAGAAAGTAACCAGACTGATTACTTACTATTTCATATTACGTGATCTAGATACATTCGACCACGTATAAGTGCCAGAGAATAGTTAATCAAATCACTTACCGCTCATTAGTAACAGTTGAGCAGTGCAAATTACTACCGCCCAACAACTGATAAGGTGAGATGCACATTACTATCTGAGAACATAATAAAAATATGATTTTTGAGGTTTTGATTTTTCCCTTAATAACCAAAGCAAAACGAAAAAATTTTGTTATAGAGTGTTTTTATTCGAAAAATACGTGGAATTGGGACGTTTTTAACGGTTTTGGCTGATATGCTTGAAAAAAACTGTGAAAACGCGTGTAGAGTAAGAATTTCGCCTATAAACATGTTTATACGCGTGAAAACGCTTTAAACGCTGGATAAACGCGTTTAAACGCAGTTTTGACCGTTAATTGTCTGCCTGGGTAATGAGACCGATTGATGCGAGAGAACAACCAGATTAACGTCAATTCTTGCAACGACATATATAAGTCTTGTCAGTTGCACCCAGTGCTTCTTTGGTAAAAGTAACAATGATCTGGCTACATAAACATGCGCCGGTGCTGAAGGTCATTGCCATCGACACTTGGTGTTTTATTATTAAAGTGTATAAAACCAGTCGTGCTTCTTCTTCTTCTTCTTCTAAGGTGTGTGTGTAAATATTAGATATCAAACATGTGCGTGTTACTAGTATGTAAGGGAAAGGTAGCTGCCATTTATTGACTTCATCGTTCTGTTCTCTGGCTACTACGAATGAAAAAGCAAAAAACAGTAAATAATGATTTGTGCTTCGAAGTGCACGACTTTGAATCATAAATTTTATCGCACGAGTCTTTGCTTTTTTGTTCGCAATGACAACAGAACAAAACGACGAAGCCAGTGAGTGAGTGAAAGCTGCCTCTCCCATCCTTAATATTAAACATGAAAAAAGTGCGGGTGTGAGTGTGCGTTTGTATAAACAACTCAAAAGCTAGCATGACGCGTTTTGATCTTGTTAAGAAGATTTTAACAAATCCTTTTTTGTGATTAAAGGATATTTCCTCTTCTCCTACTATGTTGATCGATATCGAAGTATATACGGGGTACCCCAAAAGTTGCTTGTGGAAAATAATTTCGTCTAACTTCACTGTTTTATTAAACTTAATCAATTATCTTTTTTTCCTATGATGGGTATCACTGTCAAGTTTTTATTGGTATGGACAAACTTCACAAAGATTGTTCAAAGGTATCATCTTTGACTCAAATACAAAAATTCAGTCTTTTGCTAATTTTCAAGAAAACACATTACGCAGGGTCTTTTTTCTATTGCTTCAATATATTTGTTAATCTAACATTTACTTGCACTGTCATTTGTATATAAAATGACAGTCGAAAGTATGGATGATTTAAAGGTTAGATTAACAAAGATATCGAAGCAATAGAAAAAAGACCCTGCGTAATGTTTTTTTTGAAAATTAACAAAAGACTGAATTTTTGTATTTCAGTCAAAGATGATACCTTTGAACAATCTTTGTGAAGTTTGTCCGTATCAATAAAAGCTTCACGATGATACCCATCATAGGAAAAAAAGATAATTGATTAAGTTTAATAAAACAGTGAAGTTAGACGAAATTATTTTCCACAAGCGACTTTTGCGACATCTTGTAGAGTCCAATTGAACATCATAAATAATATTACTAAAAGTTTAGTGACAGATAATAAACTTCCAAAAATAAAGAAGAGAAAATTTCTCTAATTATTCTGTGTTTGTATAAACAATACTGAGTAGAATTTTGCCGCAACACGACAACGGCTGTTTTTATGTTTCAGAGATGGTGGATGTGAATGTGGGGTGTGGGTGTGTATGTGGCTATGAGATTGTGTTTCCAGCAACATCTTCACCCAGTTGCACAACCATCCACACGTACACCCAAATCCGACACCCTTCTCTTCCTATTTTCAAGTGGTTAATTAGAATAATTTATTTAAGGTCGTAATTATTAAAATTTATACTAAAAGTTTTGAAAACGTTTCAGAGACATATTTCTCCTTCATCAGTTCATTTACTTTTACAATAAGGTTATGTTTTTAGTATGTATTATATGTATCTGCCTATTCTTTTTTTCTTTTTCTATTTTCGATAATAGTGGAGCGAGATGAAAAGATAGTAATACTGGCCGATAAAATTTATATGCATTTTCATTTTTCTTGCCCCTTTTATCGTTCTGCACTCGAGTGCCATCCATTTGTTCTTTTGATAATTTTTGTTTTAGCTGTATTTGATCTTTCTTTGGATTGACTCTGGATATTTGTATATGATCTGTAGTCATGATTCTTCAATCTCATTGTGCGTATTGATAGAATTGCACATTGACGAGTATAGAGCTTATGTGAATCGTCTCTTCTTTCAATCTACCCATTTTTCCACAACAATTGCTGTTGAGGTGTAAAATTTGCACTGGTGATGTTTTTTGTGGCTGTGTTTTACCGTAACTGAAATCGATTGTTTTTCATCTTTGCTGTTTAGACTTTGATGTTGTTTCATTCGTTTATTTAATTCCAGTTTAGTTTCTCCTATATATGTCATTCCACAATCACAATCAATTTGGTATATAACTGAGTTTCTTCTTGTATTTATTGGTGAGTTTAGCCCCCCTCCCTCAAAAACCAATCTCAGTCCAGGAACATCCAAATTGCATGAAACTTTCAGGATATGTTGGAGCTGGGGAGTGATGGCTATAGTAAAATTTGCAGCCCTATATCATGACGTTTGACAGAGATATTCATCAAACAAGGGTCAACAATAGCTCTATCGTATCTTCAAGATTTCTCTGTGGTCCTTCATTTTATACATTTAAATTTTTTTTTTGTTTGAAAGTTTGTGTCTAGGGCTAGCCTCTCTCGTGGTCCTTTTCTTTAAAATCCTTACTTTTTAAGCGAAGAAAAGGAATGACAATTTTAATGACTCACAAATCCCCTTAAATAATGGTGCTGTTTTTATAGAGGTGTTTTCTTATATGAAAATAAAAAGGCTTTTTTAATAAAAGAGCCACGAGGGGGCTAGCCCTAAACACGAGCTTTCAAACAAAAAAAAGTTATTGGCTACAATGAGGCTCCTTCTAGAAATCTTGGAGATACGATCGAAAACCTGTAAAACGAGAAAAAACGAAAAAGATCTTTTGTCTTTTTCAAAAATAGCTTGTTTTTCGAATAGAGGATGGCGAAAATCTTCAAAAATTTTTGGAAAACATCACGTGCCAAGTAAAAATTTTTGTCGTTTATGAGAGATCAGATGACGGGCTATCTTTCCTTGCATTTATCTTAATTTCGTTGATTTTGATGAAAAGTGACTTTTTTGAGGGAGGGGGAGGCTTAAGGCATGATTGTAATTTGTTTTGGTATGAGAAAAATAATTATATTTTACGTTTCTTTCGTTTTCTTTTTAGTGCTTCTACTCCAGGTGTATATGGTAAAGTAATAAAATATCTATTTCATTTCTTCGTTTTTTTCTTTCTGCTGATACTTTTTGAATATTAGTTATTAACTATGTTGCCTATTATTATATATACCATATTTGATACAACCCAGGTCGACAAATCCGACCATTGAATCTTGTCGAATTCGATCAAATTCAATGTTGGAAATAGTCGGATTCCGACTTCATCCGATCGGATTCTATCGGATTGAGTCCATAATCCAGTGGCTAGGAATCTGACGAACATTTAACCGGGAAAGGATTTTATCGGATTCGATAAGTTCCGATGAATGGATTCGACAAGATCTTATCGGATCCTGCGATGAAACTTAAGAGATCCAGCAGGATCTAGTCGGATTTAAATCAGCATTCTATAGTTGCACTCTTTCCTATTCACTGCCATTTTGCTAAATATAATAAATCATTAGATTTATCATACCAATGGTAAAAATCTACCGTCTACCGTTATCATTCCTCTATTAAGAACAAATACGAGATAAACCCATATATCGTTACTAAAATGCAGTACAAAGATATAACAATCCATGCCATTAAAATCGCGCAAAAATCGACGATTTTCTCGCGAGTAATCATGTGAACTGGCGATTTTTTCCGATTTTTATAGAAAATCGCGATTATTCAAATAATAGTTACGATGATGGAACCTGGTCGTAGCATTTCTACCCAAACAGACAAACTTTTGAGAAAACGCGTTTAAACGCGCAGAAATTGATCTGAAATCAGCAAAAAGTGAACGTTTTGGCTCACATTCGCGGTTCCCAACTGTGAGCCAAAAACATCCATTTTTCGTCCTGTTTGTGCGTTTAAACGCGCTTTCACACAACAAACGCTTGTACACGCATACAAAAACGAGAAAAAGTTTGTTGTGCTTTTCCAACTCGAGAAACGTGACTGTAATCATTATCATGCATCTTGAGTATGAGAAAGCGACCGCTTTTTCTCTTTTTTGTATGCGTGTACAAACGTTTGTTGTGTGAAAATGTGTTTAAACGCACAAAAAGGGCGAAAAATGGATGTGTTTAGCTCACAGCCGGGAACTGCGAATGTGAGCCCAAAACGTCCACTTTTTGCGGATTTTAGGCCAATTTCTGTGCGTTTAAACGCGTTTTCTCAAAAGTTTGTCTGCCTTGGGACAGAAACAGCAACAATATTGTTTACTTAAATTTGTTCTAGCGGCGTAACCAAAATTTTGATAGTAGAGGGACTTAACATGATCGGGCTCTCCGGTGAAGGACTTAGATGACCGAGTTCTTTCTGGCGGAGGAGGCTCGTTGACACAGTTTAGCTGTTATGGCTTCAATCGGTATGCGGAGGGGGAAATGGCTCAGCCTCTTGGTTACTAGTTTGTGTATTTTGATAATTGCTTTTCACGGAAAAAAATTAGTTCAGTTTATTTTTACACAGAATAAGCTTTTCAAAAGACTCAATTGGCTCAGGCAGTTTCTGTTTTCCAAAACGAGAAAATAATTACAATTACATATGATCTTTACAAAGTTTTAAGACATATTGGACAGTTCCTTGAAGCAAAATATCCGACGACTAACTTCTCGAAAACGGATGGAATCGACTGGATTCAGACAACTGAATCCTATAGGATCCGTCCTTCGGATCTCATTGGAATCTGGTAATCGAAAAACGTCGGAAATTATGGGAATCAGTTGAGATTCGATCGGATTCCGACAATCAAAACCCCATCGGATTCAGTCATCGGATTGAGACACATCCAAATGCGTAGCTTCTCAAAAGAGATACTTTTCAAGTAAACATTCAGCTATTTAAATCAGTCTTCATAGCTATTTAAAATTTGCATAGCTATTCAATTCTTCCATAACTATTTATAATGTTACTCTTTTACAGCACTACCGTAGCTGTTTCATTGAACTGCCTATTTTAGATATTACAGTATTTCAACATTATCATAGCTATTTTAAAAATTTCATAGCTATTTTAAAAAAATGTACTCATGCTTTAAAGTATTTAAGTGCTTGATTCGTTTCCAACACAGTTTCGTATTTTATTTTTATCTTTTTGTGTAACTGACCATTTCAAATCCGTATATATCTCTTTTGTCAATGGTTGTCAAATTCTTGAAATAGCTATAATAATTTTTATGCTGCTCGTTTTTTAGTAGCTCATAAGGTGACCAAAATTCATCAACCAAATGTTGCTACAAAGCCAATAGCTATTTAAATTATTGATCTTACATTCAATTTCACAAACTCCACCCCTTGTTTGAAAACGATAACCTTAAATAAGTAGCTGGCACTTATTTCGATAGCTACGAAGATTTATTAACTAATGCTGAAAATTATTAAATAGTAGGTAGATTAAATAGGTGCTCATGAATATATATTTGATATGAATAAATAGCTGACAAGTATTTAAATAGCTATGGAAGCTTTAAATAGCTATGCAAGATTTAAATAGCTATGAAGAGCATTAAATAGCTATGAGGATGGTTAAATAGCTACATATTGCTCAAAGGGTTGTCTATAAAAAAAAGTTCTATCTATTTTGAGAGCGAGCCGTTAAATGGGCTTACTAGTGGCTGGACTTTGAAGTTGAACGAAACATGTAGAACGGTTTTGGTTTTTCAGATTTATTCTTCAACTCACAGTCGGTAATTTCTCCGGGAAATGCTTATCGTTCATCATCTTGGCATCTCACAATCAGAACGAATTGTCTGGTTATGCGAAGAACTCGAAATTCCCTATCAAATGATTCGCTACGAACGTGATCCTGACACACGTCTGGCTCCAAAAGAGTACAAAGCACTTCATCCATTTGGAACAGCTCCCGTCATCATCGATGGTGATGTGGTATTGGCAGAGTCCGGCGCAATTATCGACTACATTATTTCAAAATATGGTGGCGGTCGTTTCACCTTGAAAGCCAATGACCCAAACTTCAGCAACTATTTATTCTGGTATCATTTCGCCAATGGTTCAATGATGCCAGCCATGTCAAATAATTTCGTCGTCAATTGCATAAGTAGTGGAACACGAGCAGAAGCCATCCAATAGTGGAGACATTATTGCAACGTGTTTATCGTGCATTTGATATGGTGGAAAAGCGGCTCGGCACAGTTGATTATTTTGCTGGAAGCGAATTCACTGCTGCAGACATTATGATGCTCTTCCCTTTGACGACAATGCGTGTCTTTACACCACTTGATCTAACGCCGTATCCTAATATAAGGGCCTATTTAAAGCGAATCGGTGCACGTCCGGCCTACCAACGAGCTATGAAGAAGGGAGATCCAGATTTCATGCCGCTGTTGGACTAATATGTCACGAATGGGATAAAAGTGTATTTCTAACAATATGTGCCATCTGACTCAATAAAAATGATTAAAACTAATTAGACGATTTTTAAGATTTGCGAAATTCAGCTTATCGTCTCATTTTGAATAAATTTCTAAAAGTGAAACATGACGCTTGTAGAGCTATTCCATGCAATGGGAGATTTCGCTTACTAAATTTTGAAAAAAATGTTTTTCGAGTTTGATGATTGTAAAAACCTTGTTGGGTACAGTTCTTCACAGTGATTACGAATCAAGTGTTAGATGCTAAAAAACGGAGGTATTTTTGAAATCCAAAAATCGGTTTTAAATCTTGAAAATAAATTGTATTTCGTATTTATTAATCAAAGCATTTTCAGAAACAAAAGTTGAGTGCCGCCTCATTCAATTCAGAATCCAATGCTCTAAAAAAGAAATGGTCTCAGTTTCTGAGGATCCACGCTAAGGAATGCTAGCATATTCCTCTACAATTATTGGACTCCCTTTTCAAAGTAGCAGCTCGATATTCTTGTGAAACGACCATACTCGCGTAAAAGACAAATACCTATGAAAATCAGAGTTCTTGCAGCATGTCTGTTGTCTCAAAAAAAAGGTGAGGCAAAAAACAGGATGTACGTGTGGTATGGTGTGTGCGTCTAGATACGGAGTATATCCACACGGCTACTTCCCATTTGAGAACATAAAGAAAATTAACCCTTTCTTGTCTTTGGCTAAACCTGACCGTTTGTAAGGGTAATTCGCTCAATAACATCAATCTTGTGACCCCTAACTAAAACATTTGAAAGAAACTAAAAAATTCAAAGAGAAACTAACGGATTAAAAGAGAAAGTAGAAGGGTGTGGGTGAGTGTGACTGTGGGTGTGATTATTCCTTCCACCTACATCCACCCTACCCAACACCCACACCCCACCCACACCCACACCCGCACCCACACGCACCCACACCCACACCTACACCCACACCTACACCCACACCCACACCCCACCCACCCCACACCCAGTTATTCATGGAGTTATCCTACTGTGACTTGTACAACAGATGTTCCAGTCTCAAGTAGTTACAGCAATGCAAATCTTATGTGCGTTGCTAATTGTTCAACTGATGGTGGCTATTCAACTGCACCTATTTCAATTTTAACTGATTGTACTTCATATAGTTCTACATTAGGCATGATGTCAAGTGAACGATCAGCCAATATTACACTTAATGCTGGTGCATATTTTTATGTAGCATATAAAGGAAGTGCTTGGAGAAATTTGTATGCTACTTTTACAAGTGGTCTTGATTGGTCTATTGTATCTTTAATTGATCTTCGCTTACGATCTGATGGTATAATTAATACTCCACCAGTAGCAAATGTTCTTTCGCCTCAGTATACTATTGTAAATACAACGACTCTCATTGATATATCTGTATCCGACATCAATACAGATGATGATGTACGTTGTCGATGGGCAGTCAATAAATGCAATGGATCGTTTAATGAATGCAGTGAGATATGTTATTCAGGTGGTTTTACCAAATGATACAACTCTATCCAACTGTACTATTTCATTTACAGGACTAATACCGAATACCTGGTATCCTATTGCTTTACAGGTATTTACTACTTTTAATAATAGAATTATAAAATAACTTTATATTTGTAAAGGTGGAAGATTTTATTAATGAAACAAGTACAGAACCAATGAGTTCAGTACCAGTTCAATTTTTAATTTATGTTCAAGCAACACCATCATGTACAATATTACCTGTCTTTGTATCTTTATCAGATTGTCTAGAAGTGCAAGTTGGTGTAACAAATAATTTTACTCTATACGTGATGAATTTATGCAACTTCAGTGCAACAATCACTGAAGCCATTATGACAAAGAAGATTTCTGGTGTGACAACTAGCAATGTGAAGAATTCAACAACAAACACATTATCATATATACAATTAAGTTGGACACCACAATCAAGTCAAATTGGAACACAAGAAATGTGTGCATATGCTTATAACAGGTACAACTTTCATCATTTTACTTTTCATTGATTGTTATATATATATATATATATGTTGCTTTTATATATAAAGTTTATTAGTACGTTCAACACAATATTGTGTAACATTCACAGTAACAACATCATCTACTAACTGTCCAACAACAACGTATGTTTTAATCTTTGCTAAAAAATAAATCTCTAGAGTTGTTATTTTACTTGTAGAGTTGCTGGAGTTTCAATGACAACAGTAACAACAAATAGTAATGGCATGAACATTCCACTCATTGTCGGTTTATTCTTTCTGACATTTAGTTTAAGAAATATATAAAATATAATATTGAGTAGAAAGAAAATATTGTTGAATTTGTGTCTTTCAAATAGGGGCCCTGCAGGAAGGCGTCGTCGAGGAGGAAAACAAATGGAAGAAAGAATTGGACAACAAAAGTATTCTCAATTGCTACCATCATTCGTCACTCGAAACCTTCCATTCAAAACATTGAATCGCAGTTATTTATTTCGCAAGATTGCAAACAATTGGAGTAGCACAAATACTCTTCGTTTAAGTGTACCAATGTCATTGTTAAGCATATCAAAAAATCAAATATCTTTTATCGTTAGTGAAAATGACAGAAATCATAATATCAAACAATCATGTGCAAAAGAAAATATGCAACACAATGCATCTTGTTATCACAACAATAGTATTACGGAAGGTCCTCGAAATAAAGTATCAACAGTTTGTAACACTGCACAACTCAATGATAATCATAAAAAAGATATAACTAATAATATGAGTGGACATCTAACTATTGAAGATGCGGATGCATCAATATATTACAATTAACCTATGAATGTCAATAAATTACACGGAGATGAAATATCAACTGTTATAAAACCTCAAATAACAAAAGTTAATCCTCCTGAAACCGCAAAACAACAACGAAATCATTCGATAAATGCACGTATTAGTCGTCAACCGATCACAGAAGACCATTCATCAAGAATCGGCAGTATTACTGTTACTCGAGTGAGATGTTTATATAACAATAGCAAACGAAGAGAAAGTGATGGAACGACTATAGTTCATGGAAACAATGGAGGACATAAAAATAACAAAATAAATGCTACTTCAGTTTCACCTCAAAAGTCAAAAACTCAATCACATAGATCAAGACATCGAAAAATTAATGTTAATGTCAGAAATTAAATGCTTCATATCTATTTAATTAGAGTGACTGACAAGAAAACATACTCATATATTCGAGCAGGTTTTTATTTCATCATTTGATCATGGGTAAGTATAGATGAGACATAAAAACTTAGAAAAAATTCATTTTCTTAAATCATTATTCTCGAGATATCAAATTTTTAAGGAACTTTCTCGATAGTATCCACAATTGTAAATGCTTCTTCGAAAATGTGAAAAATTTTTGTGTCATTGCTTCGTTTTTCGTATAAAGATGATCGCTAGCATTATCTGTCACACTTGATATTTCAGTTAAGGTGCGACACCTATTCGATTGTAACAACACACTGGTACAGCAGCAGCTGTAAAATTCAGTAGATCTTGCTGAGTATTGGTACAAAATTATAAGGTGAATGAAAATTACGTTTTGTATTCTCCATCTATTGTTCTGCTTCTCCGAGCATTGTATGGTATATAGTTTTTTTCATTTGTCATGATAAATGGTAGAAAAAAAAACAAAGTTTGTTCTTGATATATAAGCACGTGTAAGTTACCATTTTATCTATCAAGATAAAAAAGAATTGTTTTTTTCTTCATTTGCTCTAAAGTGAATAGAAAGAAAGTGACTGATTTCGAGATGGAGCAACTGTGTCGTATGTTGAAACCTCTAGCGAATATTTACATCATTTTATTATCGTGGTCTTTGGCAATTTTCAACTTGTATCTCTTTAACAAACCATTGAGAGAATGTGCGACGTCTGCAGACTTGAATACAATACCAATTGTTCTTGATACAATGAATTATTATACACCAGACGAAGGGTATCAAGTGCTTTCAGACTTAGGAGACAATGGGCGTAATGCATATCGATTAGCTAATTATACAGATTTTGTGTTACCAATTTTACTTTTTCTTTCATTATCTCTACCAAATTTGGCTTTGGGAAAAGGATGTCACTATGTAATTGCACCACTTATATATATGATATCAGATTATATCGAAAACATTGCAGAAAAATATGTACTCGAAATTTATCCGAAACGAAATGATTTCGTGATGACATTGGCTTGTTATATTGGTTTGATAAAGACCATAACTTTTTTTGGAAGTTTGTTGATATTAATTATTAATGGATTGCAATGGATTTTAAGGACAGCAAATCGATCAGAATTGCAACGTCAAAAGCAAAAAGCTAATTAAAATTTCATTTAATATGTTGTATTCATTTCTTTTTTTACATCAGTTCATTGGAAGAATTTTTTTTTAAATTATAATTGTGCAACATTTTGTACTTTATTTTTGTCACTTAGTTTATTGGAGTAGCTCATTTTACAGGAAGGAAAGAATCAATGGACAAATAATATCTTTGCTGTCGGGTAACCGCTTCCAGAATATGATACGTTATCAAGTTGTATGAAAATGACTTGATTCAGTTTCTGGACTAGGTGTGAATGTGGAGTGTCGATGTGAAGGTGGGTCAAGAGAAGAGTCACACATCTACACCCAACTTTTAGAGAAAGGATCATCAAGGTAAATCTTTTTAAACTTTTTTAATATTTCGATATATTCGATCGAGTTAGATATAAATGAGTGACAACCGAAGGTATCATCTCGAGTAATTTCTTCGCCAAGATACACTAGTTTACAAACGATTTGAACAACTGCATAGAATTTATCTGATATTTCTCTTTTGGTTAGTTTTCCTTTGAGTGTGGGTGCGAGTTCAGATGTGCGAGAGGTAACGACTCACATCCACACCCAAAATAGTAACACTTGTTATTGTATATAAGTCATATGAGAAGAATTTCAGGACAATGGTTCAAAAACAAAGCAAATAAAATTATGTATGAAAGATAATCGAAGATGCGTTAATAACATGAAAAAAAAAATTTTTAAGTTAAAAGTAAAATATTCTTCACCTTACAGATTATGATGACTGATTGAGATATTAAAATAACGGTTTTTAAATGTTGAATAGCACATGATAAACATGAATTTAAAAAGTTTCTCTTTGAAATCGAGTTTATTCATATGAACGAACGTTTTGAATTCTCAATAAGTAATATTTTTTGTTTTGTTTTTTATTCATAATCGAAAAATGTTTAAAGAGATTAATTAATTCCACCATTGGAAATCTGTATTTCGTCTAATAAAACTGATTTATTGGCAAAACATTTCTCATAGCTATCCAAAGTTTAACAATCATTTTTTATTTGTTTTGATCAGCTTTTCTAGGGTAATAATAAAAGGCCGAAAATGAAATCGAAAAGTATGGTTGGCCATTTATGATTCAAATCGATGACAACCAAACATATTTTTTGGTTTCATTTTGAACTTTTTTTCTTTTATATGAAGTAAACCATTGTACACATTTGAAAATTTCTAAATAGAATAAAAAGAAAAGTGTTGTTTTTATATTGAAATAAGCTGATAAATAAATAAAACATGAGATAAATTTATTTTTAGTTTAGAGCAAATATATTCATCAATAAAATTTGTAAATGGTTCATTAAAAAACATTTATTTATTGTTGAATGTGATTATCAAAAAATTAATAAGTTCAAGTCTATATTACATATTAATATATATATGAAATGTTTAGTCTGTGTGTTAATATTATATTAGTTAAATATATATTAGTCGATTTTCATAATTCCATATGGTTAGAAACAATCGTTTGAAGATGAATACCATTTTAAAATAAAACGTATTGATATAACAAACATAGAAGAAAATGTTAGATGCACCAAAAAATCTCTATTAACAATCGTTTTTTAATTAATACTGAATATTTAGATGGTTGTTTAATCGATCTAGAAACAATTAAAATTGTTCACATTTACTTAGTATTAGTTAAATCGAATTGTAAAAATTTTCAAAAACCGGCAAGATATTTGAATGACATAGGTAGAAAAATGTCATTTGCTAACAAATAATATTCGATTAGCATTTTTTTAAAATCATTTCGATGCTTTTATTTAATTGTTTTTTTTTCAATTTGAATAAAAATTTTAAAATTAGATTAAAAAGAATAAATTCATATGCGTAAGTTTTATTCAATCTGCGTTATTCGATAAAATGCATTGGGATTATCTTAGCTAGTTATACATGTTATTTCATATTTTGCATGTTCCTTTTGTTTTCCTTCTCTTCATATGTTATATTCAATTGATTTATTTATTTTTTTGTTAAGATACCAATACGCATAATATAAGTGTCGAAGATGAATAACATAAATATGAAGATATTATTCAAATTGATAAAATTAATTATGATTATTATAGTTCATGCAAGTTTTGCTTTTTATTTTTCGAAACAATACAAATAATAATGATGCTTCGTTGGATAAATGATTGTTGTACATCGAAACCTCGTCGATCATCTCATATTGATCTTCCAACATAATGTTTTTTTTTAATTAATGATGATTATTATGTTGATTTAGATTCATAACTATAGTGTATAAATAGTATTGATCAAAATACCCATATGACAACTTATGAAAGACGAACATTTATAACGGATGAATTTATTGAACAATTTTCTCCTCGAAGATTTATAAATGAACAGTGGTACGTATCAATTATTGATTATTCGTAGGATGTTTACAGATCATCCTTAAACGACGTCCATGTTAACAAGAGATCAAGAGAGAAATATAGGGTTAAGCATTTCTGAACATTCAGAAGCTTAATAAAAATATTTTCCTGCTTTTTCATACGGCTTTCGACGAAATTGTGAAGTTTATTTCATTTTGAAGAATAGTTTTAAATAAATGAACTAAATATGAATTAGTTGAATATGAATATACTATTGAAATAATATAAGATTATTCAACATGATCAGATTGTCACTTTCTCGATCAAGTATATTGAATATTGTTAGAGATTCTGCTACCATTAGTATCAAGCTTAATTTTTCTTTGTGTTCTGCTCATTTTAAATCGAAGGTATCTAAAAAAAAGAAAAATTTTGATATCAATTAGAGTTTTCTTTTATGTTTATTTATTTCTGTAATTTAAACGTTTATTTAATATAAAGATGTGTTATCTTTGAACAAGTAGGCTTGTTACAATTTCAAAAAAAAATTTTGATGCTCAACAGGGAAGGGATGCAATGTAGAGATAGTCGATTTCAATACGATTTTAAAAAAGAAATAATGCTGATTCTGATACCAAGCTTCAAGAATATTGGAATCGCAAAAAAAGAAACATTTCAATCGAACAGTACATCTTTGGAACAGATGGGTAAGTATGGATGTAGACGTAGGTATAGATAAAGAAGGAACACATACCCACACGCTTAAGTCTGCAAAAAAAGTAAACTCGATATAAAAATTCGTGCAAACAGGAAAAAATTAGTTCCATTCATCTTCTAATATAGAATGTAAGATCCATTCGAAGTTCATTTATATTGTAGATTTAATCAATGCATAATCAAAAACCAAGCTATATCAATTGGTCGTATAGTGGCTCAACAGATATATCGTTTGGAACTGGTGCAACGACCTTCGAAAAAGCACTTGGATATGGAGCAGGCCTTGTTGCTTTAGTGTTTTATAGTTATTTCTTCCTGATGAAAATCTATCCTTGGAATTATTGGCAATATCTTTTAGCTTCTCTATTAGCTTTTGATGTTGCTGGAGGTTTAGTTTGTAATTGTTTAAATTCATGTAAACGCTTTTATTCAGCTTCCCTTCAATCAGGAGAAACTTCCATTACAGTACGTTTATTAAAACAACATTGGTTCTTTACAATGATACATATTCATCCACTGATTATTCAATGCTGTTTTGGATCGTCATACATTGGTATCTATGGAATATTCTGGTACTTAACACTTCAATTTAGTGCATTTATTGTGATGAAAACGCCATTGTATTTACAACGTCCAACGGCGATGTTACTCTGCTTAATTGCTTTGCTATTTAATTCTTATATTATTCGAACATTGAATGGATTTGAATGGTTAATTCCTGCCCTTTTCATCAAAATTATCTATGGACATTTAGTTCAGGAAGA